CCACATACAGGAATTCTTGTTTTCTGCCCTACAGCTCTGAGTTTAAACTCAGCAGTGTGTGCAGATCAGCCCTTTCTTTGATAGTCTGTCCATCTGAAGGCTGCAGCACAACTGAGACAATTTCTGGGAACATCCAGTCAGGACTGAATACATCAAACAATAAGAACAGTTCCCCTCCTTGCCTGTGCTCTGCTGCAGACAGGGTGAGGTGGTGATCAGGACTGCCTGCCTTGGGGAAGTTAATTTCTTTATGCTACTCACTTAAAGCAAAACATGGACATTTTTAAAATTGGTGGTATTGATAGCCAAGTTAATTAATTTGTCACCAAGGAAATTATGAAACTGCAGTGACTGTAGGTTTTGGGTTGTGTTGGTTCAAATATTTATATAACTGGTTATAAATATTTAGAATGTGTGTTTGGTCAGAACTTAACAAGATGGAGACTCTGGGCTATGACTAAGGTGCCTGTTTACTGCTGTAATACAAATACTGGTGCAGGGGTTATGTTGTGGAGGCTCGTGCAGTTGGACAGTGGGGACTCACTGTAATTAGTGATTGCTGAGGAAGGTGTTTCCTTGCCAAATGTTCCCTAGGAAGGGAACTAATATATGTGTAGTGATTGATAAAATATAATTCTGCTTGGTGCATCCTCATTTGTAGCTTGACATTGCTTTTGGTGGAAGTATTTGTGAGGATCTACAAAGTGTAAGTGATAAGAGATTCAATTAAATTATTACATTTCTAATGTACACATTTAACGGGGCAGGAAGAAACTTCGATTGTGGTTCCAATTTCATCCCATCTTCTTAATTGTATGTGCAGTAACACCACACCTTGACATTTGCAAGGTGGCATCAGATCACCCCGAGTTTGAAATGTGATTCCTAGCCCATGATTATGTAAAATTAAACTGCTGCATAAGTACATGGGGAACTTGCAGGACAACCCCTGCATCAAGAGGCAAGCAATTAACAACTTTATGACTGCTTTTGAATTTGTTTTTTAAATATCATAGGAGTGAGGAATAGTATTGTGTAGGCATCTGTTTTGGTTTGTTGAGCCTATTTCTGGATACTCTTTTTGGCATTTCCCTCAGCTGCATAGTAGCAGACTTAACAAAAAGGTATACTATAAATCACTCTGGGTGTTCGAGCTGACAGCTTTAAATAAATCCAGCTGACAGCTCAAATAGCTGCTCCATTGACAGTATGTGGTCTAAATGTGTTAACAAATGCGTAGACTCAGCAGTTTGAGATTAGTTTAGCAAATAAATTCCAAAATAATGCTGTGATCCAGCAAAAAGCACAATGGCTGTGTGTCCCCGGGCTGCAGGCTTTGTTAACACTGTCCCAGGCCTTTGAAGCTCCCTGTGAAAACACAACCCTGCAGCTGGAGCAGAGCTCCTGCTAAGACAGCACTCACCTCCCCCAGAGCCCTTCTCAGTGTGGCATCAGCAACAATGTGAGTGGCGTGGTGAGTAGAGATGGTTTGGTCGTGGATGCATTTGCTTTGCAGGGTCAGGGGTTTCACAGAGGGAGATGCTAACCTTACGCTGGCTTGGGTTGTGATTGAGGACACAAAGTTACTGAGTAGCAATAAAAAGCTGCTTTGGTGCAAAACTCGAGATATTTAAATGTTTTGGTTTGTTTCATGTGTTGTTACCGCTGGGTCTGTAGTACTTGTGAAAGAAAAGCTGGGAAGAGAGGGTGATGAAGGAGCTGGACTGTTAAAAGGATTTCAGCTCTGGAGCTGAATTATATTAATAAGTTAATTATTTCCCTGCTGATCACTGCAAGAAATAAGAATTACATGAAGAATGATGTCATAGTTGGACATATTTAAGGCATGGAATTTTTTGTGCTTAGAGATTGAATAAAGCTACTGTTTATTCCTGTTCACAGACAGGATAGCATGGCACAGGGTGTGATGGAGTACATAATGTGAAGGTGGAATGGAACTCTCAAGACCTGTATTTTAATGTAATCACAAATATTCTGGTGTTCTCCAAAAATGTGCTTTTATAGTAGCCGTGTCTAGTGCATAATTTCAGTGAGGGCCAGGGCACTGCAGGAATCCTCTGTCCACCTGTGCCAGTGACCTGCTCAGTGTTACATCTTGGTGGAGAAAAACAGAACTTATTCCTTGCCTCTGGGTTTCTTTGTCGAGGTTCATAGTGCAA